GCCCTGATGGGGACCAGGGTGGGCACTCATGGCCTCTCTGCCAGGTCCTGCAGCTGAGCTGGGTCCGGAGCCCCTTCGCAGCAGCTGTGTGCGAGGGGCAGCTCTACTGGTCAGAGAGGAAGGCATGGTCCGTGCAGCAGGTGGACAAGGCCAGCGGCAAGAACAGGACCGTGCTGCTCAAGAGACACGGGCAGCCCCATGGCCTCCAGGTACCTACCTGAGGGACCCCCAAACCCTGCTGCGCCAGCCCCGCTGGGGCTCCCACCGTGCATGGCCCTGCTGTCTGAATGTGGAGCTCCTTGGGCAGCAGTCCCTGTGGTCAAGGGTCTCTCTTGGAGCATCCCTGTCTTACCATCCTGCCCCCAGCCAGGCTGTGTCTGGGCCTTGGGAGCATGGCATGGTATGGGTCATGCTCAGCTCCACTGCTGCGTGCTGGTGGTCTGGTAGGGCTGAGAGGCTGAGCCTGCTTTTCTACAGGTGATGCACCCAGAGCTGCGCCCTGTGGCCTCTAACCCATGTGTGGCACGTGGCTGCTCCCACCTTTGCCTGCTGAGCGCCAGACATGTTGGGCAGTGCCGGTGCCCCGCTGGGCTGACTCTGGCCGCCGATGAGACCACTTGCCTGCCCCTCCGCGACTCAGCCTTTGCCCTCCTGGTGTCCCAGGCAGCTGTGGTGCAGGTACCATCCTCTGGAGCCTGCCCTGGGGGCTGCTGTCCTCATCACTGTCAGGGGAGCAGGGTCCACATCCTACTGCTGCCTTCTTCCCCCAGGTCTACCTGAAGGACCTGCCCACGATGGCTGGATCCCAAGGTTTCCCTCCACACCGGGCCCTGCCCTTGGCCAAAGTGGTCCACCTGACAGCCATCGACTATGCAGTGAAAGACAAGAGCCTGTACTTTGCAGAGGTGGGGGGTGGCTCCATCGGGCTGCTGCGCCTGAAGGACTCGGGCCGGCTGTCCTGGAAGCAGGTGGTGGCTGTGGAGGGCATGGTGACATCCCTGGCCCTGGACTGGCTGAGTGGGAACCTGTACTGGATTGGGGGGCAGCCGCCCAGCATCCACGTGGCAGCTTCTGGGGGGCGGTGGGCCCTGGCACTGCTCAGCAAGGGGCTGCAGGGCGCTGCCTGGCTGGCACTGTGCCCTCGCGCCTCCACCATGTGCTTTGTCACAGCGGCTGGCAACCGCGGGCCCGGTGCTGTCGTGGAGTGCGCAGCCATGGATGGCACCGGCCGCAGGGTGCTCTGGAGGAGAGCCCGGGCTCCCACTGGCCTCGCCTTTGGGGGTGTTGGCACCCGGCTGTACTGGGCAGACCGCGGTGAGTGTGGGCTGAGCAGGGACACTGCTGGGGGTAGCGGTGGTGCAGGCGCTCGGTCTGCAGGGCACAGCCCCAAGGGGCAGCCTTGGAGCCCCCTGTGTCCCCACGTCTGATGTCCCTGCATCTGCCCTGCAGAGAGAGGCACCATCAACAGCATCGAGCTTGATGGGTCCCGTCCCCGGGTGGTGCGGGAGGGACTGCATGGCCTCTCCCTCTTTGCCATTGGAGAAGGCTTTCTGCTCTGGAGTACGACCTCAGCCAACGGTGAGTCCATCTGCTGTGCTCTGCCCAGCTTCTCCTGCTGCACCAGAGCACGGGGTCCCTGCGAGCCCCTGAGGGCTGCAGGCTGCCCCTCCTGGGGTGAAGGGTAGGCTGGGGGTCCCCACCTCCCATCCTGAGCACCCTTGTGGAAGAAGATGAAGCAATGCCAACCCCATGTATCTTCAGGGTCTAGCAGGATCTGGCACAGCCGTCTGGAGCGGGTTGAGAGCTGGTGGTTCCCAATGGAGCAAGAGTTGGTAGCCATGAAGATTTACAGCCAGTTCTCTCAGGAAGGTGGGTCTGGGGCATCTGGGCAGTTGAGCCATTCCCTGTGGTGGCCATCCTAATCCATGCTATTTTAGCAGGCACCAACGGCTGTGCGAAGAGCAATGGCGGCTGTGCCCAGCTCTGCCTGCCCAACCCGGCAGGGCGGCTGTGCCGCTGCTCCCCTGGCTACCGCCTGGTGCGAGGGGTGGAATGCACCAAGGCACTGCCCTGCCCGGCCCCGCTCCAGGCCTGTCCTGACCTCCAGACCTGCATCTCCAGAGAGCAGGTCTGCGATGGGCACCCCAACTGTGCTGATGGCTCTGATGAGTCTGACTGTGAGTGCCTGCCCGCAGCCGGTGTGTGCAGGGGTGCTGCCTGCCCAGTTTCCCCCAGTTCGGGAAGGGGGGTCTCACCTGTGACTGATCCATGTCCACCCCGCTAGGCCCTTCTCTGGAGGTGGGGACCCAGATCCCCGTGATGGCAACATCTGGAATGTCTCATGTGGAAGAACAGAAACCAACCTTACCCACAGCTGCACACAAGTCTCGGCAGCCCGGCCCCAGTGTGCCTGCAGCCCCTGGTCCCAGGGAGCGTGGACAGCCCTTCCTCGTACCCCCCAGCACTGAAGAGGTGTTGGGGGCTGTGCCGTGCAGCAGTGAGATGTGTAACCTACATGGGGACTGTGCCATCGAGGCTGGGCGAGTGACCTGCCACTGTGCCCTGGGCTACCGTGGTGACTACTGCGAGGAGGCAGAGGTGCAGCCTGTTGCAGGACCTATTGCCCTGGGGGTGGCCGTGCTCCTGGTGCTTGCTGCTGCTGGTGTGGGGGCCCTGGCCTACATGCGGAGGAGGGACAGTCGGAGGAGGTGAGCTCTGGGGCTCTGCTGGGACAGGTACAACTGGGGATGGAGAGGGACAGGGTCTGCCTTGCCTACCCAGGGGCAGCATGGTGTCCTAAGGCATTCCTGGGCTATTTGGAAAACTTCCATCACCCTTGCAGGCTACTACGGGGGATTGTGGCAGGACCTTAGGATCTGCCCCATCTCAAGGAGGTGGCCATGCCATTCTCAGTTGTATTCTTGTTTTCCTCGCAGGACCTCAAGCACTGCCTCTACCAGGGTGCTGACCTTGTACCACCGTGAAAGCGATCCCGAGGAAGAGGATGAAGAGGAAGAAGAGCTTCCCCCGAAGAGTGACACCTTTGTAAATGAAGCTTATGATGGGAAAGAGGTGAGCAGCATCTGGAGCAGGCTCTGATAAGGACCTCCCTGCCACCTGAGGGTGCCCCAAGGCTCCCCTAATAGGCAGATCCCTCCCCAGGTCATTGGTGCCCAGTCCTGAAGTAGTATCTGCTCTCCTGCTGGGAGAGAGTGGGGGTGCCTGAAGTCTGGCTGGTACAGGGACTGTCCCATTCCAGCTGTGGCTGCAGCCCCTGTACCAAGGTGTAGGGTGGGCTCAGGAAGGCTAGCTCAGACTCAACCCTGATGCAGCCATCTCTGATCTCTGCAGGAGCTGCCGGCCCCGCTAAGGAAAGGAACATCTCGCTCCGATACTTTATGTTCATAAAGGAACATTGTGCAGCATCTCTGGTGCCATTGTGGTTTGTGTGGGGGCTGGGGAGGGGAGGACAGTTTGTTCTTCCCAGCTCTCTTAAGCTCTAGGAAACCTAGAGTCCAGAGCAAAAAGCTTTGGGAGGTGTTTCAGGAAGTTTCCAGCTCCAATGCAGCCTGTGAACCACTGGAATTTGGTCCTCTACTGTAAGGGTATACACCTTGTGCCATCCCTTAACCACACTTGGAGCCCCTTCATAGAATCATGGAATGGTTTGGGTTGGAAGGGACTTCAGAGCTCATCAACTTCTAACTCCCCTGCCATGGGCAAGGACACCTTCCACTAGACCAGGTTGCTCAAAGCCCCATCCAGCCTGGCCTTGAACACTGCCAGGGATGGGGGAGCCACAGCTTCTCTGGGCAACCTGTGCCAGTGCCTCATCACCCTCACAGGGAAAGTTTTCTTCATTCTGTGTAATCTAAATCTCCCTTCTATCAGTTTAAAGCCACCCCCATTGTTCTGCCACTATATTCCTTGTAAAAAATCCTTCTTCAACATTTCTGTAGGCCCCATGTAGGTATTGGAAGACTGTTGAAAGGTCTCCCAAAAGCCTTCTCTGCTCCAGGGTGTACAACCCCAACTCTCTCAGCCTGTTCTCATGGGAGAGGTGTTCTAGCCCCCTGATCATCTTTGTATCCCTCCTCTGGACTCGCTTGAGCAGGTCCACATCCCTCTTGTGTTGGTGCCCCTAGAGCTGGATGCGATACTCCAAGTGAGGTCTCATGAGAGCAGAGCAGAGGGGCAGGATCATCTCCTTCAACCTGCTGGTCACGCTCCTTTGGATGCAGCCCAGGATATGGTTGGCTTTCTGGGCATCAAGCACACACTGATGGCTCATGTTGAGCTTCTTCTCACACAACACCCTCAAGTCCTTCTCCTCAGGGCTGCTCTCAGTCCATTCTCCATCTAGCCTGTATTTGTGCTTGGGATTGCCCCAACCCATCTGCAGGACCTTGTACTTTACCTTGTTGAACTTCATGAGATACATGTGGGCCCACCTCTCTAGCCTATCAAGGTCCTCTGTATGGAACCCCTTCCTGCTTCCTTCCGTCTTGATCCACTGTCCCTCTGCAGCAAGGCTTAGCTTGTTGACCAGGGTGTTTTGGGTTTGTCTGGAGTAGAAATCTGTCTGAATAGCTCTGCAAGGAAGCTGGATTAGCTCTTGCCCTGTTATTCTGGGTGCTGAGCAGGATTTTATAGTGCATTTCTGACCTCCTGAGTGTCCCTCACAAACCAGCGAGACCAGTTTTACTGCCTCACACCAAGCTAATGATGAAAGGGGAAATATACACCAGTTTCTTACCCTGTGATCTCTTCTCCCCTCCTCTGAAGTGGCTGTGCTCAAGGAAGGAGAAACCTCTTTCAGAGCTGATTTTTGACCGTGGGGGAAAAGTCCCTGAGAAAGGTGCTATAAAAGCAACCTGTTCTCTTTTACAAACCTTTTCTCCCTGCTTCAGGCAAAGCACAGGGGAGCTGGGTTAGCTGTACCCCCTGGCTCCTGGCCTAGCCTGCCTGGCAGAAAGCCCATAACCATACCACAGCACAGATCCGTTCCTCTTCATTTATTCTGCTGTTTGCACAGTCCTGTGTTGAGCAGAGACATGTGGGAGGTGCTCCCCATCCCTATTGCCAGCCCAGAAGGCTGCACATTGCTAACCTGTACCTTGTTCACGTTAAAGAGAAAGGTCTTTGCCTGAGGTTTCCTGCAGCAGTGTCAGACATTCAATTCCAGGGAAAACAGTAATGCAATAATTGAGTGGTAGAGCAATAGGGATAACTTGAGCTGGATGCCTCTGGAGAGGGACCCAGAACAAAGAAATCCCTGGGGTTTTATACCCTTACAATCTATGTACCTGTGCTTTGTAAGTTCTTCACATGCCTTGCACATGCCTCTTTGGTCCAGTGGTGATTTTTGGTCTGGGGTCGTCTTGTTTCTGACTGGATTCTTGCTCTGTCTCCAGACATGCCCTTAGCTGCTCTATCTGGACAGGTTGCAGCTTTGGAAGTACAGGTTTTCCTCCAATTGTCCCTATTCCTTTGTCATCTCGGTTTGTTTCCCATTGTCCCAATTGTTTCTTTTCTTCTGCTGAGCAACCCCTCTCATACACAGTTTTTGGGTCTGACAAACCTGGCCTTTTGTTCTGGTTCCCAGATTCCCACAAAAATAACATTTCCTTCTGACATTTTCTGTTCTCTTCTATCTCCTGGCCTTGGTCTAAAGCCTCTGCTTGATCTTTCTCTTCCTTCACTCGTACCACCTCTCACTTGCAAATTCTTGGCTAATGCTGCTGCCAACAAATGAATCTCCTGCTATTTTGTGTTCCTTTCTTTCATTAGTTCAACTTTCTGCTCCTCTTCAAGACCATCGTACATGAATACAGACACACACAAAATCTCTTGCAAACTTTCTCTTTGCCATGCTGGCAATCTTGAGTGTGTCATTAAAGTTCTGTGGTGTCATTCCTCTGTATTTGAACAGAGCTTGTTGGAGCCATCCCCAGGAGTCACAAGGATGCTCATCAGGTCTCTGACTGTATTCTTGTACTGAGCTGATGGTCCAGTTCACTCCTAGCTCCCCACATGCTTTAATGACTTCTACTAAATTTCAGAGCCATGTCTGACAAGCAGCTCAATCTCATGTCCGATTATAGTCCCAGCCTGGATCATTTGCTGGCTGGGAGTTTCCGTTTCCTCCCATCTGTTGAGTCAGTTCAGCATCCTTATTAATGATTTTTTCCCTCTCATCAGGTCCGAGTACCTCCACAAGTGAATTGTACCCAGGGCATATGTTAGAAAATAGTTGAGCATTCTCCCTGAGTCTCAGCATTTTACTTCCCCATAGGGCCGTCACTAGGATTCCAAGGTTGGTTAGTAAATACGTGCAATACAGGTGGGGCTCTACCTGCCACTCCTGGTTGCATGGCAGCAGGATTAGGCACTACATTAGAAGCCAGAGGACAGACTCTGGCAGCAGAGCAGAATCAGAAAACTGAGAAAGAGCTTTAGACATAAAAGGTGGGGTGGGATATGTCTGGGGAGTTAAAGTCCATGACCACAACTGTTACCCCAGGTCTAATTCCTCTTCCCTTGGCTTGATGCCTCCTTGCCCATGCCCAGTTATCCCACATGTACCAATAATCCATTTGACAAGGGCTTTCATTCTCTAAGTGGTGTTGTAAATAAGTGAGTCTTAATTAACTGAATGTTCCATGGGGTGGTCAAATTTCCAAGGGGGCCCCACCAGCTTCCCTAGTAATAAATGGCCATTCCTTCCAGCACAGGGCCACTGCATCCTTTTTAGATAATTGAGCTGTGCCATAAATCTTTCCCCAATTTTGCAGTACATTGGCCAAGGGTGTCCCCTTTTCTATACCAAATTTATTCACCATTACCAGAAAAAAAAAAACCTGTCAAGGAGACACAAGATTTAGAAAGGACCATCTTGCTTTCTAAACTCCTTCTCAGAGAGAAGTCTATATGTGGATAGATTCAATCTTCATCACAGACTTGGTCAATAGTCTGTATCTAAAAGATTGTATTTCTTATTGCTAGGAGGAACTCAGACCCCTTCTATGTGCAGTTAATGATGATCAGGCTGAGCACCCATAAGCAAGTTGCAGCAAGGGAGGGACTCAAATTCACTACAACATTGTTTCTGAATCTGCTTAGAGAATTTTTAATACTCACCCTTTCATGCCTCCTGCTCCAAAGGTCCCAGGAGCAGAATTCACCCAATGCCAACAGTTGGATGGAGACCAGAGGGTGTGGAGGTGGTGGCCTAGGATCCCATCTGGGTCACCGACCTGTTAAAGAAAGGTCTTTGCCCTAAGTTTACTGCAGCAGAGTGTCAGACATCCAATGCCAGGGGAAAAATAATTTAATAATTGAGTGGTAGATCCATAGGGACAGCTTGAGCTGGGTGCCTCTGGAGAGGGACCCGGAACAATGAAATCCCTGGGCTTTCATACCCTTACAGTCTATGTACCTGTTCTTCATGTGCCTTGCACATGCCTCTTGGTCGAACTGTGATTTTTGTTCTGGAGGCTTCTTGTTCCTTATTGGATTCTTCTTCTGTCTCCAGGCAGGTTGTTAGCAGCTTTTATCTGGATAGGTTACACCTCCTGCTGATGGTCATGGCTTCCTTATCTTCCAGTTTGCACTGGTCTCAGGGACTCCGTTCACTTAACTAAGCAACAGTTCAAGGCAAGTTCAACTTTTCTAGGTTGCAGCTTGCAGCTTAAGGCTTCAGCAATGTTAGCTACTCATGATAAGCAAAACTACTCATACAAAAGAATACAGTTAAAAGAATTCAGCTAACTGAACTTTATTTACAACAGTCACGTGGGAACACTGGAGCTACCTTTGCCCAAGCTGCTGCACAGTGGAAGAGGATGAGCTAAAAGCTTCATGGAGAGACTGCAGCCAGGGCTGATCCTCAACCCAGCATAGCTTTGGCACAGTTGAGGGACCTGGAGCACAGCAGGCTTTTGAGGAGGCTGCAGAGACTCAAGCCAAGTCCTTGGTTTTGTTTCCAGCCTGCCCTGAGCTACCCCAAGAGAAGGGCATGGCTTGGAGGGGCAGGAGCCAGTGCTCCTCTCAGTGCCAGGCAGGCACGGTGCCCACTGCTGTCCCTGTGCTGGGGCTACAAGTCAGAGTCACAAGGCAGGGTGCTCCTCCACTGCTGTCCATGTCGCTCGTCCTCCAACACATCCCAGGGATTGCGGTAAGCCCCAGTGGTGGGGCATGGCTCAGCCTCCAGCACAGGGCTGGAAGGCAGTTTGGGGGCCCTGAGCTTCTTGCAGCAGTGGTGGAAGCTGAGGGCGAGGGCCAGCCCCCCCAAGATCTCAAAGCAGCTTCCCAAGTAGCTCAGCACCAAGCTGTAGCCTACAACCAGTGTGCTGCCCTCCGGTGCGGGCAGTGCCCACAGCTCATGGGTGTACCAGGAGGCAGGCACAAGGCTCAGCAGCCCTGAAAGGAGCAACACAATCCCTGCCACGCCAGCCAGCGTGTGCCGTGGCTCCTCCTGCCAGCAGCGAACCCCCAGGGCAGCCACCAGCAAGCCCACCAGAGTGAGCACCATCGAGGAGGGCATCATCCCTTGGGCCACCTGCACAGGCACCTCCTTGAAGTAGCCCAGCTCATCAGCTTGCCCACAGAGGCGGTTGTGACTGCTCTGCCGCTCCGTGCAGATGTCCCAGATGCCCTGCTCCGTGACGAGGTCAATGGGCTGGTCGGGTATAAGGCTCACCTGCCGCCAGTTGGGTGCCAGTGTGCCCGTGAGCGTCAGCAGGAGCCCGCAGGGGCACAGGACCAGCCCCACGATCATCGCTGTCGGTGTCCGCATGCTGGGGAGGTGGTGAAGAGGCACAGAGGTCCGCGGGGAGGTCCGGGGGAGCCGGAGCTCGCTGCTCGTCACCCGGTCAGAGGAGGTGTCCCTGGTGCCCCAGCGCTGCTCGGCGCAGGCAGCGGTGCCCCAAGGAGAGGCAGCAGCCCCGGAGCCCCCCAGGGTCGGTCAGCCCGCCTGTGCCCGAGGCATGGGGAGGTGCCAGCGACAGGAGGAAGTGCGGGCAGGGAGGAGCCCGGCACAGGCAGGGCTGGCCGGCACCCAGCCCCGAGCGCCTGCACCGAGACCGGGGGCAGGCAGCCGTCACGGGATAGAGGTGGCACTGGGACATCTCGGTGTCACACCAGGGCTGGGCCGCGCTCCGTCCCCACGTTTTCCTGCTGGGGAAGCGCGGGACCCTGCTGTAGTTCCATCAATTAAACTATCTACTGGATTAATGTGTGAAAGTCATTGATTAAGATGAAATGCTAGCGGGTCTTACAGTTCGTAAGGACTCCGTGGTACCCCAAAAGCCCAGGAGACCTGGCCAGACCCTGGTCTATGTTTTCATAGAATCACAGAATCATTTATCTTCTTGCTCTTCATCCCAGCAAGCATCTCCTTCGTCCCTCGAAGACCACTCCTGAGATCGGCCCTGCTCTTCCTTTCCCAGGCTGCGCTCAGAGGCCACCCGCAGGGACAGCAGCCTGGCTCCCAGTGGGAAAAGTGCCTGGGATGTCCATTGAGAGAGGTACAGAAGTCACGGCATTTGAGAGCCCCTGTGTGGGATTCTGAGCCACGAAAGGCATTGGTCTTGGGCCTCTCTGAATGTCATACTGCCAGTCACACTGAGCCCAAAAGAGGGCAGCATCCTCTGCGTATTATTCTGGGATGATGTACCCCAGCTGATCTGGAGGGCTGGCTGCATGTGTGCTCTGCTGCACCGCTGCGCTGCCATGGGGTCTGCGTGGGTCTGTGCTACAGCAGCTGTGCCTCAGCAACCTTCCCTATGCCTGTGTCCTACAGCTATTCCTGAGTGTCCCCAAAGCCGTGCTGCTCTGTGGGTGCCACATCATTTCAAGGATAGATAGCAGAGCTGTTAAACACCGGATCTCAGCCCAGCTGGAAGGCAGGGTGGATTGGGCTCAGTCAGAGGCTCATGCCCCCAGCTGTGCCTGCAGGGCAGCAATGCTGACAGCCAGCTGTGCCTAGCTTCAGACCGGGGACATCCAGCTTTGCTGTAAGCAGATAGTAGTTTGCTAAAAATTGGCACTCCTCAGCTAAGAACCTAAGCTAAGCCGTTAGTCGCATTAACTTTCACCCTACTCCAGACATGCCAAGCTGCCCATTTCTGCCTATGGAGCTGTGGGTCCAACCAACACACCAGCTGCTGCCTGCCTCTTGTGTTGCCCAAGGCTGCCTTCTGCCATAGGACCCCAGCCCTGACCAGAGCTGAAAGAGCCTGAAATCTTCTAGTCCTGACTGTTTTTCTTTCCATTTGGATACGAGGTGCAGGTTAGGTATGAGAAGACATAGTTCCCCTTGGGGAGAGGGTGACAGAAGGAATGGGCTGGAGGTGAGCTGGCTGGCACGGTGATCCTGGGTGCCATGGATGAGTACTTGTCAGTGCCATTTGGTTCCTCCCAAGCTCAGGAAGCTTTTACTGAGGTGACAAGGTGCAGCTTGGTGGCAGTGCTGGCAGGTAAAGCAGTGGTCACCTGTGGACCAGACAGGCTGAGCTGCAGCTGGGAGCACATGGGAGCAAGCCCTGAGCCCTGTGTGGCTGACAAAGGCTTTGCTCGCCATCCCAGATGTTTGTGTGTGGGCCATGCTCTAGCACTGCTGGAAAGGGAGGAATTCTGCACCTTGTCAGATTTGCCCTCATTTTGTCCAGACAGGCCAAGAAACCTAGAGGCCTGCAGCTCAGGATGCAGGGGTCCCACAGGTAACCCAACCCTGTGCTTTGCAGTGCCTGCCCTAGGATGCCTTTCCATATAGCACCTTCCTTCTCCCCTTGTCTGCTCCCCCAGCAATGCTTGGCACCTCCTGCCCTCACTCCCACAGGGCTGGGTATGGGAGGTGGCCACTGCTTGGATCTCCATCAGCAAGTGGAAGCCGGGTGCTGGGAGCATTGCAATTAAGCACCAGGGTCAGGTTTAAAACCTGGGCTTTTGCAATTTATTAATTATGCCCGGGAGGATGCATCTGCCCTTTGGGCTGGTGCCCAGGCTCCTGACTGTGGGGCAATGGTAAGCAGATTAGGTGATGTGGCCCTGATGCTGAATGACCTGCCCTGAGTAAGCTTGAAAAGGAAATGGGATTAACAGAGCTGTTTCCTGATGCCACGAAGTTATAGATTGTTCATTTCTTCCCTTTTACTTTCTAATGAGGCAGTATGAAAAGCAATTCAAATCAGAACCTGGGCCTCTCCAAGCTCTGGGGAAGCATTTAGAGCCATCTGGTCTCAGAGATAAAATGGCCTGGCTAAAACTGCCTTCCTTCCCACAATTCCCCTAAGCTGCTGGGTGGGAAGAGCCACCTTTCTTGGTGTTTCCTACTTCTCCAAGGCTGTGACTTACTTTTTCCTACCTTGGCAGAGTCACCTCTTTAAGAATGCGATAGAAACTTTATCCAGACCTGGCTGAGTTAGCTTGTGTTCTATTATTATCTTTTAACCCTCTTTGTAAATTGGAGGAGCAGCAGAAGGCCTTGAACTAACTGGAACTGGAAAAGATCCAGGGCAGGGTGGTCAGAGCTTGAGACTGACTACAAAGGAAAAAAAAAGACTAAAAAAGAAATCCATGGTGGGCTATTTGGTGTTGAGTGGCTGCTTCCAGCCTCAGATACCCTGTGTTGTTGAAGGCTGGGAATGCATCCAGGGCAGTATTGCTGTGTCCAGCCTGTTCCCTTCCTCCCTAGGTGACTGCTGGAAGCCACTGGTGGTGATGGGACCCCAGACTGGACAAGTACTGGTGTCTCTTATGTGACAGTGGCTCAGTGTAGGATCAGCAAAGATAGGACTAGTGGCTTTTGGGTTACAGCACTATCATACAACTGAGCAGAGCTTGGTGTAACAGCTGGGCCTTTCCTAACACCAGAAATGGCCTCAGCTGGGGAGCACATGCACACAGCAGTCTCCATAGCTTCCTCTGTAACCCTTAGTGCTTTCAAAAAGTGGCTCCCTGCATGAAGGCAGCTCTGTGTCTTCCCTGTCTGTTGTGCTCATGACACTGAGACCAGGATGGGACAGGCTGTGTATTTGTGAAGGGGTTACTCTGACTCCTTCCACTCACTGCTGCGGAGCTTGTCCTCAGCAGCAGCAGGATCTCTCAGCATCCTGTTTGCTGTGTGGGGAAGAGCAGGGGCCAGGGCTGTTAGGCAGAAGTCTGCAGCTGGCAATTCCTGTTTACATCGCATTGACCCTGGGGCTTTGCCTGCATTGTATACAGTAAGGTCCCCCCATTCCACCATACTGCCTGCATGTCATGCAAGTTATATTGTACCTGACCACTTCTTGGGTTCAAAGGGGCCATGCTGGACTCTTAGCCATGTGGCATTCAGGACTGCAGACATGACAAACAGAGTGTGTGCTCTGTGCCCTGCTGGGCTCCCCTATGCCTGGCAGGTGCCCAGCAGGCACAGTGCTTGATCCGGGCTGTATCTTTCACCCTCTCTCACCTTAGGAGAATTCACTTGGCAGAGCACCACGTCCTGCCCGCTGTATGAGATCAGGACTGACTGGGAATGGCACTCTGGGGGGGCTGCAGTTTCCCCTGGTCTAGCCCCTTGGACAGTTCTACCAGCCACCTGTGTTTGCCTCTCTTTTGCGGTTGAAACCCTGCAGGCTGGAAGCAAAGCAGGATGGCTCCAACAGCCCATGCTGGATTTGTTTAGCATAAGACCTGGTTGTCTGAGCCTCTCCTCAGACTACATCCTGCAGGGAAGTCTCATTAAACAGGGGTCTGAACTGAAGGAATTGGTTCCTACCATTACATTTTGCTGCTTTTTGTTCTAGAATTTTGAGTGGGGGACTTTGTAACTGCAAAAGGAGGGTGTCCCATTGGCAACTCATTGCTTTCAAGCCATGGCCCAAGCAGTGTGTGAGTGCAGCCAGGACACGCTCTGCATTGTGCAAACAGCTGCAGTTGCAATGGGCTTCTCCCAGACTGGCTCCCAGCTTCTTCCCTGGACACACACACTACTGCCTTTGTGCCCGCTGGGAGGCCAAGGACAAGCCCCCAGGAAAGACAGGGTCCTCCTTGCTGTCTAAATGTGGAACAGACTTCTGTGTGTCCTCCCCAGAGCATGGGCAGTGGCGATCGGCACCCAGGATGTGGCTCCATGCTCCTGCTCTCCAGCCTTCAGCGCAAGATGTCTGCAGACAGACTCATTAACCTTCCATTTGCCCATTGACCTGCCACACTCCAGGCTGGCCATGGTGCTGTTGGTAGCCTTGAGGATGCACTTCAGAGGGGCTATCAGGGACCAGAGGATGTATTGAGTGTGCAATGGCTTGCAAACCCGGTGCTGGCAGTTCCCACTCTGGGGCTGTGGCCCAGCAGTAGCATACTATGCTCAGGCCTGTGGCCCACAGGAGTCTTGGCTGTTCATGCTACCCAAAACTCAGCATGAGGGAGCTGCATAAACCCGTGCAATTTGGGGGCAGCATCCTGTAATGCCTGCAGGGAGCAGTAAATCCATCAGTGAGTGCTGAGGTTGTTCCCGCTTTGTTTCTGCAGCCCAGCTGTGACTCTGAACACTATTCAGACTAGGTCTTGGGAATGAGCTGCTGAAAGCCTTATTAGGTGCCCCCCAGGTATTCAGTCACCCGTTAAACTCCTTCACTTTCAAACTGCTGCACTTGAACTTGCCAGATTGCCAGTGCTGCTTCTGAGTCTTTGCTTTCAGTTCAGAGACTATCTGAAAAGCATTTTTGCAGCTGTATCTATTTTTGTCTGGCTCGATGCTGAGATGGTTGAGAGCGGTTTGGACACGCAGTCCTCGTTATGGGTTTCAGACAGGGAGAAGAGAGCAGCTGAAGCTGTGTCAGTCTGCATGTTTGTCCAGTTCCTGGGCCACAGAGCTTGGGAGCTAAAAGGCAATGCCAATGCCCGTGGGTGCAGAGCACGTTGCAACTGGCAAGGCAAAAGCAGCACTTCATGTTGGGGTTCATGTAGTTG